TTGATGTCCGACTTAATCACAAGTATTAACAAGTATTTGACTGTCAAATTTTTGTTTGATTGTGCCGAGCACTAATTTATACTGTAGTAATAGATAAATTTAAATGAAATATATTTACAGTATAACAGATAAATGCATATTTTTCAGGTACATGTTGGCTAACATATAATTGGCTAAGAAATATCATGCCATTATTTATATCTAAATTTGAAAATTAGATTTGGTAAAATTTGTCGGCTTATACGTAGCCATTTCACCAACAATCTACATCTCGCCAACACTAACTATAAAATCAAATCAACCCTAACCTAAATTAGGTTAGCTTTGTCGTTCGGCAAATTGGTTAATCCATTTAACTATGATTAATTTTATTCAAAATAACCCTCTTTGTTTAAAATACCGCAAAAATAAAAGAAAAGATTAATTTATTCTGTTTACTTAAGCACCTTTTTTTATAAAAATTTGGCGCCAAATTCAGTACTTTACACGTGAGTATCATATGTGAAAAAAGGTATATAAAAAATAATAGCCGAATATTTATTCATAGCAACAAAAAAAAAAAATTCAAAAAAATTTTAATGGATAAAAAACAGTTATATACTTTGTAAATAAATTATAGTAATTGATTGACCTACGACAGACATTACAACTTCAATATTTTTCCAGTAAAAAAAATTTTTATCGTTATAATGTAAAGGTGGTTTTAAAATTTATTAAAATTTGATTGGCTGATAATTATCGATGGTAATAAATAACTAATTTAAAGCTCTATATTTATTTACATATATAATTTTTCCAGAAATTTAGAAGCAAAAAAATTATTGTCTTAGCAAAAATCTTAGAAAATCTTAGAAAATCTTAAAAATCTTAAAAATCTTAAAAAGATGTACATATTTTTTGATTTTTTTAACCTGGTTATTCTTAATTTGAATAAAAAAATATCGTACCATGCCTATTAAACATACATTTATGTGCACATATTTTTCTTAATAGCATAAGTTTTTTCAATAATTATTTGATCTTAATAAAAATATCGCACCATGCCTATTAAAAACATACATTTATGTGCTCAAATTTTAGCATAAAATTTTTCGATAATTATTTGATCTTAACAAAAAAAAAAAAAGAAGACATAATAATATATTGGATTTAAAATAAGATTTTTTACGACGTTTCGGCTTTTGCGATTTATAATTAGATATAATTAAGCGTAAAAACGATTCGTAATTAAATATAATTAATCGAAAGTACGATTTGTAATTAGATCATCAGGAAACTCCCAATACATATTGTTATCGTAACAAATAATGATTTGCGATGGGTTCTCATTATAAATATCATTCGATTGAAAATCATCTGCCAATTGCGTAGGAAAAAAATCGGAATGTTCAGAAATTGTAGGACTAGTAGTGGAAGCAGAATCATCATCATACGGAGAAGCGATATCGGGATGACAATCGGGAACAGAGAAAACGAACTGATCAATTTGTGATGCAGCGGAAATATTAGTATTAATACTAGGGTCGAGAACGAAATTTGATTCAACGGGTGATTGAATATTGACAGAATTATGAGCATTGTTTTCAAAAATAGGATTATTAGAATCAAGAGTAATGCAATCCAAATCATCACTACTTGCGTAATCGTAGAACTGAGTAATGCTATTGGAAATATTAGAATTTTCTAAAGATGAAAAAGAATCCGACAGAGTCTTGTCGGTAAAAGTTGAATATGGAGATTGATGAACATTAATTGGTTCAGCAGGAGGTTCCTTAGAGAAATCAATGGTTGACACAAAATTTTTGCAAGCATCTAGGGAGCCAAAAGAAGCAGCAGATCGACGAGCACGCTTTTCAAGATTTTTGTTTCTTCTTCTTCTACATTTTTCATGAATATCAGCATAGACCAAATCTCTAATTCTAATATCATTTAATTCTTTTTCAACTTCTTTGGCAATATTTTCATAAACTAACTTAATTTCTGGTTTTTCATTCTTCCAATGAGAACTAACCAACCTAGATACTTCAGTCATTTTCAATTTATGTTGTAATTTTGAAAGATGATCCACAAAAGCTTTTCTATATACGAAAAAAGCATTTGGACTTTTTTTACAGATCTTTGAACGAATTCTTTTTTTTGCGATATCAATTGCACGAATTACTGGAGGGAAAGGCAAAGTGATTTGTGGTAAAGTTGGCAATGCATTTGCATTATGACCATGAAATTTAGAAAGTCCAGAAGATGAATGAAATCTGTAAATTTGATACTTCATATTCATTTGGGAATTACTCATGATAATGAACGTCTTTGATAAAAAATATATATATATATATAAAAATCAAAGCTATATATATATAAGAAAAAGGTTTTAAAGATAAAATAAAAGTTAAAGCAGAAGATTACAAATCTCCAAGCGAGAGGGAAAGTAGACCTCCTCGAATATTTATATTTTATCGTGAATTAAAATTATCCCACATTTGGGCATTAATAATGCGCCAAATTGTATTATGTTATACTTGGAAACAGCAGTGATGTTTACTTACTTATCAAACAGAATTGATGTAATTAAAATCTAATCTCGTCATAATTGCATTAAGATGTGATCATTAAATTAAACTTATGTATTCAATTCTTGCACGTTTTTTTTTTTACCTACATATATATTTGTAAAGAATGGCTATTCCGTTTTCTGCAATGAAGAAATACTCGAGAATGTTCAAACCGGTTTCACCTTTTAATTTCGAAACATTGTGATATGATACACGTCATATTACGACTTATCAAAAAGACTAATTCTTTAATTGTCGATTGGACCAGAAAGAGGGTTGAAAGTGGCAAAAAAAGTGATATAATAGCATATACTTTCGAAATTATATCGGCCGATGCATTGTCGTTAGCACGCGTGTTAATGTGTAACTCAAATAATGCAAGAATACGTATTGTACGCGAGTGTTACAAATTCCTAAAAAAGGAAGCTTAATATAAAAGTAAACAAAGCATACGTCCGTGTACATAGGTAAAATTTTGGGATTGTCAAATTTTAGTCCGTCATTTTTACTTAGTTGTCTCAATGCTAAGTATTTGTTTTTTCCTATGGGTTCACAGCAAAACCGTGTTTAGAGTATATATTTTATGTACTCTAAATATGGTTTTCTTTGCACGTGTTTAGATTTATGCCAGCCGGCTGATCTGTGATATATTCCGGATGATCAAATTATGCATTCTGATTGGCTATGTCCATTTAGAAAATTTGTATTACTTTTAAAAAAAAGTAAGTTTTTTCGTACAACCACATAAAGAATATTCTGGATTTAGGCGACAAATAAAAATACTGTGAACTCGTGCATTCGATGATTTCGGCGACGATCAATTCACATTCTAATATTCCTTTTTAGATGTTCGAAACAATAGAGACACGTCAAACTTATGGAAAACCAATCAGGAATATCAATTTGTAATTTTTAATTATACCCCCATTATTCGGTCTCAAAACTTCAAACAATAATTTTATTGAGACAAAGTATTTTTGGTTGTTCTTTAATAATTTAATAAAGAATTTAAGCAATTATCTTCATTCTTTCGATATTGCCGTTGAGGTACAAAGTTATTCCCCTTTTATGAGACTTTTGTATTCAATTCTTTGATTTATTGAAAACAATTCGGCTATGCAAGTTTATTAATTTCTAAAACGTGGATCGAGGTCAGCAAATTTTAAGCATGTTTTTTTTTTTTTGATTATATCTATATTTACCATTTGTTAACCCACTAAAGAAAAGAAAATGTCTTATTATTCTATAAGTCCACTTTTAGATGAATTCAAATAAAAATTCCGGGTTACAGTACATGTTAATTATATTTTTCCTGTTGAAACCAATAAAGATCTTACACAATTAATATTCTTGTTAACAATCTAATCGATGTTTATCGATGTTTGCAGGTTTGTGAATTACATATTTTAAATAATAAATTTTGATGATAAATAGTATGGTAATTGGCTACAATCTGCCTATTTAAAGCCAATTTTAGTTAGTTATCTCAAGCAATAAAAAATTTTACCGTTAATTAATTCAAACGGGTCAATTTTTTTTAAGCATTAAAGAAACTTTTTATTATATTTTAATATTCGGTAGATTTTATATATATATTGTTAATTGTTTAAAATTAAAATTAAAAAGCCGAATTGTGGTAAACTTTATGTTATGAAGAAAACCAAAAATTATTATTTTCGCATGGTAATTACTATATAAGTCGTAGTCAATTTATTATTAGTTAATTTTATCAACTTTATTAGTCTAGTTTAAAAAACTTTGTTAATTTTATTGCTGTAATCGACTATACGTCCAACAAAATACAGCATAAAATTTTACTTTTTTTAGTAAACAACTCTCGATACGTATGAGTGATGCCAAGAGAAACCCTGTAATCTTGCTTTTTGAATATTTATTTTTAATTTTTAATGCATTAATAAAATATCTCATTCCAAATAATTGAATACTAAATATTTGAATCTTCTCGTTGAGATTATCAAATGATATTAAAATACAGTATTACAATATTAAGTGTTGTGTTACTTGATTATAAACCATTTTTATTTTAAAAGTAAATAATTAAAAGTATGACTTGTATATTTTCTCTTGGCATACGTATTCATATGGTAAATCTTCGATGCAAGAAAATTTAACAAAATCAATCTGTAGTAATCTATCCAACATAAGAAAGTTATTAATAATCTCAATTTAAAAAAAGGTTTGTAAAAGTTCTATTGTGGATCCGATCAAAAATTTTTCAAAATGTTGCCACGTTGTAAATATGGAAATATGAAACCTATTAAGATAGAAGAACAATTATGCTTCTTAATCTCTTACAATACCCTGAACAAGTCTCTAATAATAAAATTGTTTAGATATTATTTTAAAAAAAGAAACATATAATCAAAATGATTTCCGTTATTCTGAATCCTATAACGATAAATTTAACAATTACTTTTTCGCGAAATAATACACAGGAGTGTAATTTCAAAATTTAGCCTTATTCTAAATAACGCTCATGAGCGTTATTACGCGAAAATATGGTATATCTTTAACTCACTCTCTTCATACGATCTAATTAAGATTTTTCATAGTGAATTTTCTGCGCCAATAGATTTACTGCGCTTTTAATTCCTCATGTAATTTATAACATTTTTTAATTCTACAAAACATATTTAATGAAAGGTGTCTTTATATCGTAACAACGTCAGGATTTATCTTACTAATTAAAATATGTTATGGCTTACCGGGGTGTTTCCTATCATACAATTTACGAACATAATGCAGGCCATATGTAGTAGAAATTAATTATTAAATCTAAAAAAGACAGTTATTAGTTTAAAGAGTATTTAAGAAGGCTCTGGTAATTATACTTTATTCGCACATGTTTATTCGTTCAAGAATTTTTTTGTAAAAAAAAAAAACTGGGCCAACGATTTACTACTACATATGGCCTGCATTATGTTTGTAAATAGAAGACACCCCAGTAAGCCATAACATATTTTACTGTAATTAGTAAGATAAAATTCTGACGTTGTTACTATATAAAGCCACCTTTATCGTAGAGCGCTGCATACAGTACCATGCGTGACAAATAATTTATATCAATTTAGATAAATTTTTTAAAATATTATTTATACGACTATGCGATATAAAATACATGTGAGTTTTAATTTTTCACTATTTAAAAAATCGTGTCACACGGGTACTGTATGCAGCGCTCTACGGTATCGTCATGATCAGAATTTTAAAATAAATCATGTTTTATTGGTGCTTGTCACAGGATATCACAATTTATGTTGAATCTAAAGTTATTTCTGATTAATCTTTTTGATCGTCTGCGATTACATTCGTATATAATTCACAATAACAGATAACCGATAATGCTATTTAGATGGCAAATGTCGTAACCTGATCGTATATTCACATAATTTGATCATGTTTAAGATGCAGCCAACCAAAAATTTTAAACGTACGAAAAAATCCCGAATTCTTGTAAAACATTACGATACTTGGATCCAGATTTAATCATTTATATCCGAATTTAATCATTAGATCCGGATTTAATTGTTAGATCCGGATTTAATTATAAGACCTGGACAGTGTTGTTGCAGTGAATATCACTGGAACTGGAAGGATTACTGGAACTAACTGGATGAAGCTGGAAAATATTTAAGTTACAGTGGTCCTTTCAGTCATATATTTTTTTTTTTTTACCACTGGATGGAAACTCCAGTGAAATTTAATAAGTCAAAAAAGCATAAAGATAAAAAAAAAAGCTTTTTTATTTATGTAATAACGATACAGATTTATTTTTGATATTTAAAATTTTATTTAAAAACGCATATACATAATCTATTTAACTGTAATAGTGCAATCTTGTAATCAAAAAAATCAGAATCAGACCGAAAATACAGTATTATATGCAAACTAAGATTGTAATTGGATCGTTAAGATTCAATATCGATATCAATTAATGATCGTATATTAACTTTTTCGCGAGATGCACAAGCCCAATTTGGTGGTTCATAGTCTCAAAAATCACGGAACTGTCAAATTTTTGTACCATTACTTTTCTGGCCTTTAAATTGATGCCCAAACTTTAATGACATAATGACGATAAGTATCCCTGTTAGTAAAATTGGTTTTCAGATTATCCTAAAATAAAAAGATTTGTTGTTGAATGTCTTAAAATTCCACTAATGATTGAATTATTTCTCATATAATTATTTCATTTCAAGCTCTAAATAGAGACCATTTCACTTAACCCGATTTAGGGTTTGAAATGAAATGATCGACATTTTGCAAGAACAAGTGACTTTGTTCACATTGCTAATTAACTAGCAAAAAATTTCAAAATGAATACGATATCGAATTTATATTTTGTATATTTTACTTGCTTTAATTTTAATAATAGTCAAACAAAATACCAGTAGAATTCTCTATTTTCGAGTTACATGTAATAGTAAAATGAAAAGTATTCTTGCAACTGATTGGATATCGGGTATATCACATGCTTATGATAACCTTAATTCTTATTTGTAATCTTATTGGCTAGTATTATATCGGTTTCAGTGAAATAATTTGGAACACTGGAAATATCTGGACGTCCAGTGAGGTTCCAGCTTCCAGTCAACAACACTGGATCCGGATTTAACAATGATATTTAGTATTGTCACTATATAGAGAGGTAATATTTAAATCTGGATTTTACACATATATCCGGATCTAAAGTATTAACTCTAACAAAGACACGTCGGATAAATCATAATTCTGTACATCACCTCCTGTAAACGAGCATATTTTGGTAGAACATGATTTACTACGCACTTTGGTAATAATAATCTTACTTTTTTTTTTTTTCAAACACTAAATACGTATTAAATTCCAAAAAACTGCTGTAACATATGAAAATTTATTAACTATAAAAATCATGACCGTAATTATGTAATTATGCGCACGGATTAACACGTTCTAATTCCCACGCCACTTGAATTATAGTAAGATCAGGAGCCGGTTGCGGCGAACCACGACAGACTCCAACAAAAAAAAATTATCCAGTTGAGACACCCCGTAGGATGTTCAAAGCAGTAGCCGCCAGCCGTAGTGCAATGCCAGCAACCGCCACCTATACAACCACCTTGTTGATCATGGTTATATCCTGGCAGGTAAGTATGAAGATCTTTGTTTATCAAAACATGACATATTTATATAAATATGGAAAATATGGGATCGACCTAACACTAATTTTATTTGGACATTGTCGAATATAATTGGTAAGTTAGGCTTAATTAATGAGATAACAGGATAACGATAAGATAAGAATTACGGTGAGCTTATAAAATCCTAAAGTTCAACCTTTTTTTTTTATCGCAGCCCAATAAAGACATGGCAAACTTACTTACGATTATCTTACCGATTTTGATTGTATTTCTTGCTATTGTATATACTTTATACAAAGATTTCGTAGTAACATGTGGGTATTATCGTGAACCAGCTCAAAAGTATACTGGTGGGAAATGTCGAAGACTTGAAGGTATGTATGTTATAATTTCCTTATCGACCACATGTTTTAGCTTCATTACTGATAAATGGCACACGGTCTAGGCCTAGAAGAGGCATGCGAAGATATCAAAATACATCATACGTCTGGGCTCGCTTACTTTGCATGTGGAAACGCAGAGGCTCGTACAACCCAATGGTTTCCACCAATGGGTTTACGCCATAACTACAGTTATCAACCAAAGGATACTTTTTACGTCTATAATATCGAGGTATTATTTATTTATTTTTCAAGTATTTACTTAAAAAATAATGTGTTTTTAAATTTTTAATCATAAATATTATTCGCGTTATTAGACTAGCAAGCTAACTCCTCTCACTCTCAAAAACTTTGATGAAGATTTTGCGCTTCATGGTTTTGGAATGTACGAAGATCCTTCAGAACCTGATATCATTTATTTCTTTATTATAAATCACAAACGTACAGGAAGTGTGATCGAATTATTTAAGCACAAAATAAACTCTTTCGAATTACATCATTTAAAAACATTTAAACATAAATTGATTTATAATCCTAATAATGTTGCTCCGGTGTCGAAAGATGAATTTTATATAACGAATGATTATTATTATCAAACGCATTGGAAGAGACTGGTTGAATGTATCTATCATTCTCAATCTTCTAAGTGGAGGTTAATGAAAATTATACTAACCAATTCATATTAATTCAAAATAGCGCTGACACTTCGTAAATGGGGCAATGTTGTATTCCACTCCTCAAAAACAAATACTACAGAAATAGTTGTTGATGGTTTAGCTTACGCAAATGGAATTAACGTAAATTGGGACTATTCTCGTATTTATGTTGGAACTATCGGTACGGGTGAACTTTTAATATATGAAAGAAAGCCTGATAACAAATTGAAGCTGTTGGAAGCTATTAAAATTGAACATCCTATTGATAACGTTAATGTGGATCCAGTGACTGGTGAAATTTATCTTGCAGGTATGTTATGACTTTTATGTAGTGAATGTGAACATTGATTCTGAATTAATTTCTTTTGAAATATCATTAATTCATATAAAAATAGCTATATATAATATGTTGGATGCTTATTTATCTTTGATTGGAAAAGATACCAAGCCTGCATTCAGTATATTTAAAGTTAGCAACAACACAGGTGAAGATAGATTTTATGGGATCAAATACTCAAAAGAGAAAATATTTGAAGATGATGGTACTTTGCTTCGCATGGTTTCTGTAGCGGCTGGTGATAGCGTTAGAAAAGTGGTGTTTTTTGGATCACCTCATAATCCGGGTGTTGTTAGATGCGAATTGGATTGAAGGAGTTTGAGAACTCAAGGGAAGAGAAGTGTGATCATTGTAGTATAATTAGGTGTTGATTGGATAATTCATTATGTATTCTATGTTTGTAGTCCAGCAAAATTTATCACTCGACTATTCCAAAATTTAAAATCAGCTTAGTCGACTATGCAAAGTTAGCTGATTGTTTAGTTTTCTGAAATAAATCTCAAAAATTTATTAATTGGATTGGTTGATTTTTAAAAAATTCGGATAACTTAGTCTATTGAATTATTTTATGAGCTAGTACCAAATCGATTAATATTACTATGTATTCTTCTTTTGTAGATAAATAATCCTGTTATTTCATCGGTAACAGTATACTATGTAACTTTTTTTACTAGGTTATTCACACCAGTCTATATGAAAATCACATGATTTTACATAAACTGAGATATCTAAAATATTGTGATTGATATGAAAATAACAATAAATTATAATTCTCGTAGTTGGTATAAAAATAGTAATTGGTTGAATTATCTAAATTTTTATAATTGACACAAAATTAGAAGTATTTAAAATATTTTATTATTGTGGCATTAAAACAATAATAGGTTATATCTAAAATTTTTGGTTGGCATAAAGAAAACATAGGTTGGTGTATTTAAAATTCATGCAGTTAATGTGAAGTAGTAATAGGTTTTACTAATTTTTGTAATTGAATTAAAGATCAAAATAAATTAAAATATTTAAATTTTTATAGATATGGTTGTATAAAGATAATAGTTCACTATTTTTAACCAGGGTGATTTAACCACCCCTATTAAAATTTAGGGTTAGAGTGCAGTTTTAGGATTTTTTTTTATTTTTTTATATATATTATAATATATTAGATATAAGATTCTGACTTTAGTTTTCGTGAGGTTTTTAGGTGCCCTGAACATTTTTACTTAGAACACCCGATCTAGTTTACTTAGTACGTTTTTGAGATATAGCACCAGTCAGAGACCCGTAAAAATTTGTATATAAATTAATACAAATTTAGATTGATTATGCAAATTAAAACAAATTTCTCAGGTAAAATTCACGTGATATTTTATAAATTTGATTGGCTAATAATGGCGGATAATATGCTGAATTAAGATTCCAAAAATTTCTGAAAAAGAAAATGAATGAACATAAAAGATGAGCAAGGTCAAAACAAAAATTTCTGTTGTTTTCAAAGAAAGATTGCAAATTAATATAAAGCTAATGTCTTATTACAAATTAATTAGGGGGCTAGTTAGCAATAGTCAAGATAGATTAAAACATTTAAATGTTTAATAAATCTATTTAAAAAATTTTTGTGATTATATAAAGATGAAAAAAATATTTAAATTCTTGTAATTATACGTTTACGTTTAAGGTAATAATAGGTCAAATGTATTTATTTAATATATTAAAATTTTTAAATTTTTTATGCTAACAGTTTTACTTCTCTATAATTATCTTATACAGTCGTCCTCCTCTATAATCACGCTGTTTGTTTTATGTACGTACATAAAAAAGATGTGATTATAAAATTTTAATAGTGATGTGATTATATTTAGTTTTTTTTAATAAATATATTGCCAATAATTTTTCAAAAAATGGTGCTTATAAAGAGGGCGTGATCATATAGGAGGTGACTGTAGAGGAGGACGACTGTATATAATTACATAAAATTTGGTTTTATCTTTTTTTTTTTTTTTTACTGTATAATTATACAATAGTTACAATTACAGTACATTTTATAATAAATATAATTATCATACCAAATGCTATCGTTGCTAAATGTAAAATCAACATTTTAAAATTTACAATTTCACGTATTAAGTAAAGTTGCTCGACATGATAAAATCTATCTTGAAATTTTTCATGATTTGAATAAGATAGATTTCATCATGCCAAACAATTTTACTTAATGTGTGAAAATTAATTAGCTTAGTAAATTTTCGACTTTTATATATAGCACCTATTTGTGATTAAAAATATAATGACTATATAGGACAAATATTATATAATCATACTCTTTATAATCACCAGTTTTGTATAAAACAAACTGGGCGATTGTAGAGGAAGAAGACTGTACTACATGAATATTCGAATTTTTAAGTGTAAATAACATATAAAGAATTATTTATAAAATTTACTAATTTCTGATTAAACAAAAGTCTTTATAAAAATTTTATTAAGAATATACAAGTCACTCGTTATAGTGAAGTGATCGGGCTGCGAAATTTTCTTGCTATATCGAGAGTCTATCAGTAAATTTTGAGTAAATTCACTATATCGAGAAGGTTTTTATACAAACTGTTCTTCACTATACTTATATCGAGAATTCACTATAACGAGAGTAACTTGTATATCGTGTAACATAAAAATTTGAAAGTATATAAATAATTTAGTGTCGTATTTTCTCCTCACGAAGCTACGAGTTTATTGGCTAAGGTTTAAATAATTGCGATTTCAACTAAAGGCTCGTTTGTATCAAACATAAATTAAGATAAAAATCAATCTAATTGGTTGTCAATTCACGAAATTTTAATGGCCACTAATAATAGACGCATTAGCAGTTAAATGAAAATACAATCGATAATATGACAAATCTAT